ACACACACACACACACACACACACCTCTGCCGGACTGTGACTGGAGGCTGAGCGGTGTGGGAGGAGAGAAGCCGGCCGCTCACAGCGCTCTCCTCCTGCAGGGCTCGGCTGGCTGTCACACTTTCTCTCCTCCCCGCTGGGACACAGAGCAGCGCCCAGCGGGGAGGAAAGAAAGCAGGGATGCGTTGCTGTATCGGCAGAAAAATGGCATAATGTCAGCATTATGCCAAAAGTGCCATTTTTGGCCGATATGTTTCGGCGGCCGATATATCCGTGCATTCCTACTAAACATTAACTCCCCAGCACCCTTGCATATTAGAGGAAAATTCAGTTTTGGTGCTTTCAGGTAAGGGACAAGTAAAATGGAAGCAGAAATTTTAGTTACACTATGCGACTGATAACATGTAACAAAAATAATAGTAGGAGTTAGTTTTTTTTCTTTACACTTTTCACTATTTTTTTAAAACTTTTAAAATTTTTATTTTATTTATTGAATTATATCAAGCAGTCATTGTGAATTAATCTCACTATTACTGCTTGATAAATTACTACATTTTTGGTTATTATTAGGCTGTTTCAAACTTCAGAACAGCCAATAAGTTAGTGACACTGATCCTGCAGCAGTTCAGAATTCAGCTGTCACTAAAGGTTTTCTGAACGTTACAACAACGATTAGAAAACTGAAACATTCTTCTTTCAGGAATACATTATGTATCTATTCCTGAAAGTGAAAGAAAAAAAGTAAGTATACGATCCAAGAGAGATATCTCTAGATCTATACGAGCTGTCAGAATGCCGGCATGTTTGCGGCTCTGCTTTGACTCTCAGACACCCGATATTAAGGTATCGGGTGTACGTCTCCGGTCACAAAGGGGTTAAGTAACAAAGCCACTGGATCAGCATTAAAGTAATTCGAATTTTCAAAAGGAAGCCAGCATTGACGGCTCCATATTAATGCCATGGCAGGTTTCCTTTCATATAATCCATTGCAGCTAGATTTATCTATCCATTGCAGCCACATGGAATCTGTGTTCCATAGTAATGCAATGACTGACATTCCGCAAATGTTTTCTGTCTGTGCTGCCCATTTCAGTGTGCCTGCCCCAATGATTTCAATGGGAAACCTTTCTACATACAGACATCATGGACAAAGAGGAGACCAATGATGGAAGGATCTTCAGCTTGAATCTACACAGCAGGAAAATTAAGCCGAGCATTATTTTCCAGTGCACATGCAGAGATTGCAGCTTACCTGGTTTGCGTTTCAGTAGGTGCTCAGCTTCAATAGCAGTAATCTGAGAGACGGTAGTAAAGACATGACTGCACTGGACAGCCGCTCGTTCCATACAGTATCGGTGGTAGATCTGTCGGTCTCCAGCTTCTTTATCTACGTTAAACTGTCCAAAACAATTACATAAATGCATTCCATAAAATTAGGCAGGCATCTGATCTACCTTTTTGTGTGTTGATGGGTGAACAATGTGTAAATTAAACTCTCCTTCATGTCCCTCCTTCCTACTCACCATGGCAGTCTATTCATAAGTGCTATGCCTGGACTCTCCTGAATATTGGAGATACCTCCATAGACATCAATGGGACCAACATCTAGGTGCATATTTATAAAGCAGACATTACTAAAAATTAGGAAAATCTTTCAGGTGCTTGTGGTTTAAATGAGTGATTCACCACCAGTGATTGTTTGGGAAAGTCACATTCATGGCTTATTAGCACATCCCTAGTGGATGTGAAAAAGATTTTTATAAAACACACACACCTTTTGATACCTTTTGTCAGACGGAAAGCAATAGGCTCTACATAGTTTTTAATGATGTTAAGCATCTGCAATACACCTGGCAGTCAAATACTATAGGTGACATGAGGAAAATCAAAATCAGTTATTTATGTATTTATGGCATAAAAGGAGATACTGGTTTACTCAAAAATATAATGCCGACTCGTTTCCTATTGATTCTTCTGTAGGTGTTAACTTTATTTATAAGTCCAGTTTAAAGTAGCAGATTACAGGATGGTGGGCATGAAGGTAATTTTACAGTTAACTCAATTACTTTTAGATGCAGGGTGAAAGACACAGTTGCCAAGAGTCTGATTTTCAGAAACATTTCCCTCTTCACTACATGTATTTAAGAATGTTACATTCCACCTATTCCTGTTACCTTGGCTTTATATTTGCTTTCCATAGGTTTATAACAGCACATTGTGCAGCATTTTATACAATACCTCCACAGTCACAAGTTTGGTCACAAGTGCTGGAAGACTACTGGAATACCATGGAAGCCATGATACAGTTAAATGCATATAAAAAAGCAAAAACACAATGATGTCCCATCTCTGCATACTCATCCACAGATTTTGTTTCTTTTTTAAAAGCCCTACAGAGTTTTAGCAGAGTTTAACTGCATGGAAAATCCAGGGGGAAAAAAAAGTCCATATTCTCTGCATTTAAATACAGGGGGTGTTTTTTTTCCTGGAAAATACAAAACTAAACATGCTCAGAAGAAATCATTAAATAGTCTATAATAAGCACTATATGCACTACTGGTCAAAAGTTTTAGAACACCCCCATTTTTTCAGTTTTTATTGAAATGTAAGCAGTTCACGTCCAGTGAATAACCTGAAATGCTACAAAAGGTGAAAAGATAAATTTAGGTTAACAAAAACTGAAAAATAAATGTACATTTCAGAGTAAAACAAATAGGCCTTTTTCAGGGAAGTAATGGGTTAACAACCCACAGTTCTGCAAAGATGCAAGGCTGGCGATGCACTGCTCGATTTTTCTCATTCTACCCGTGGGCTGAATGAAAATAGAGCAGGTTCCTTCATCAACACTACAAGTGTGTGTCAATTGTGGAATCCCGCTGCTTGCATTGTAGTCTGACAGGGGCCAGTGGCTGCCAGCTCAGGTCGTACAAAGATTTTCCAGCCAGCTCCTTCAAACAGCTGATTGAGGGATCCCGGCCGAGAGGGAGCCGGCGGGAACCTGCAAAAATACGCACAGTGCATGGGCACCTTAAGTAAGTTAAGCCTTGAAAGTTTATGCTAACAATTCCTACAGGTGTCCCCAATTTTATGGATTACTCAGAAGTCCCGTCTGTATAAAAGCAGTGTTGGAACAGACTGTGTTACTTCACCCTATTAAGCAATATTTGGGCAATATTGTACTGAAGGTAGTATATTGCTCTCAAAATGGCAAGAAAAAGGCAATTAACAAAAAGGAAGACATACAGACCATTATAACCCTTAAAACGTGTAGGTCTTTCCTTTAGAGAAATTGCAAAGAAAGCCAAGGTGTCATGGAGTACAGTTTCCTACGCCATTAAAAGGCACTTGGAAACTGGAGGAAACTGACAGGCAGAGGTCCGGCAGACTCAAAGCCACAAAAGAATCAGAAGACAAGTTTCTAAATCAACACTTCCGTAACAGGCAGCTGACAGGACAACAGCTTCAAGCTGTTCACACTGATCGAAGTAAGCAAGTCTCAGTTTCAAACTGTGTAGAGAAGGCTTCGAGCTAAAGGTTTGGCAAGTCGAGTGGCAGTAAGAAAGCAATTGCTTAGATGGCAAAATAAGAAAAAGAAGCTCATCTCCTGAAGCAACGCTAGTGTACTACTGAAGACTGGCAGAAGGTCTTATGGACTTATCAATCAAAATGTATGATCTTCGGGTCGTCACGCAGGGTTTTGTTAACCATCGGGTAGACAAAAGGATGGTTCTGCAGTGTGCGACACCAACTGTCAAACATGGAGGAGAAAGCGGGACGGTCTGGGGCTCTTTTGCTGGATCTGGGGTTAGCAACTTGCACAGATTAAGTGACAACCTGAACAAAAACTACCACCACAGCAGCTCCATGCAATACCCTCTGATGTATGCCTAGTTGGTGAGGGTTTCCTACAGCAATATGATGACCCAAAACATACCTCTAGACTGTCAGAACTTTCTTAGAAGAAAAGAACAAGACGTTAGGCTTCAAATCTTGGAATGGCCAGCACAGTCTCCAGAATTAAACCTCATGGAGCCGGTTTGGGATTAACTGGATAGAAGGGTGAAAGTACAGCAACCCTAGAGTGTAACACATTTCTGGGAACTTCTGCAATAGTGTTGGGAACACCTTTCGGAACAAGATTTGATTTCCATTGTAGAAAGGATGCTACGAGTGTGTTCGGTTGTTATATCTGCAAGGTGGGTACTTTGACAAATCAAAAATGTAATTCAATTTTGTTAAAGAAAATTATTCCTTGATTTCTTTTGAATGTCCAATTGTTTATTTGTTTTATGCTTTATTTTTAGAGTACATTGAGAAATGAACATTCGTAAATTTCAAACAAAAGCTGGAAAAATGTGGGTGTTCTAAAACTTTTGACCGGTTGTGTAAGCAGCACCATGAGCAGGCTGTGCTTGCCTTCACTTGCTCCCCTACCATGTTGACTCTCCAACCAGAGCCCTTCAAAGACCCAGAAAGTTGAAACCTACATAGGTTTTAAAACAGATTCCTCCTGGTCCTATGTGATACTGCTCAGGTCTAGCAACTGGCCATTGAAGCACCTAATGCTGCATAATAGGGAGGGACAAGGTGAGTGTCATGTTTTTCTCATAGCTGGATATTTTCTGAGGGCTTGGTGATGGAGCAGAGAATGTGAGGAACTTCCCTTTATTATACTGGCTAACAATGTACAAATTCTCTTTAAATGTTTTCTTACTGAACAGATGAAAAAGTGTAAGTAGAACTTGATTTACTGAACATTATCTAGGAATATTTCAATGTGCCGAAATGGCTCAAGATTATACCACCCCAGCCAAGTGACCCTGGCAAATATTTTCAAATACTGGCAATCAAGCATAAGGGGATACTTTTCAGCCAGGTCAAGAGGAGCTATAGTCAATAAAAGTCAATATTTTTACATCACAGCCTCCACTGTACTTAGAAATTTCAAGTGTTGAATTGGGATGTGATGTAATGAAGTTAAATGGAAACATAAAAGGAGTTAAATGATGGAGGGGAAGGGACAGCAGTAGATAGTGGAGAGATAGGAGGAGCAGGGGTGCACATGAGCTGATGGTGGTGGCAGATAACACAGGACAATGGAAAAGGATGTTGGACAGTTAGGGCAGCACGAAACCTAAATACACTGCTGCCCTAGGGCACTGCTGCCCTGCTGCTGCAGTTTGCCCGAGTTCGCCCAAACCCACTCAAAACGGTGACCAACACATCCCCCTTCCAGCCCAATCGGTTTGCGGCACTAAGTGACAACGCCAGCTTTACCAGAAACATGCATCAACATTATAACTGCAGGGGAGTGGACATTTTTTTAAAAACTACTTGTCCAAGAACTAAAGTGGGGGCCTGATCTACTTGCCCCTCATGAAAATCTACTTGTCCTGATACAAAAAAAAAAAAAAAAAAAAATATATAAAACCGTATTTAGCAATGCCAAGTAGAGCTCCTCGTTGGTCAGTGCCGTCAGATGACTGCGCTGACCAACAAGTGCTTGAATTTTGAGAGCGAAATTCAGATTACAATGGCACAGGTACAGATAGTACACCCATACTGGCGGATGGGAAGGAACGTTCCCTGAATGGTAAGTATAGTGGGAGGGGGATGGAGTCTGGACCAGATATGTGCAGGTAATTCCATTTTTCCAAATTACTTGGGAAAGTGAATTTACCGTTTGAGGCGGGTACAGACTTGGGCGAGGCCGTGTACGGTTGCCTCGCGGCCTCATTGATTTCAAAGGGGTTACATCCGCGTGGTAATCTCGGAATGTTTTCAATCGCGATTATGTGCGATTGCACGGGCGTTATTGTGGCGGGAAACTGCCTGGGGCGACTGGGGTGCCATTAGACAATAATGGCGCTGCCAGCGTGATCGGCGGTGGTGTGCGATTCTGTGACTGCCCGGCCATCCACACGGTTTTGTGCACGATTGCCGTGTGGTAACGGATCGCCCACTCCACTCACACACACAATGCCCCATGCATGCGTTTATTCGCATGCAGATGATAGGGATTGGTTTTAATTTTAGATTTTATTTTACTTTTTTTTGCTTTGTAATATCTTTATCTTTATTTTATTTTTTTACTTTAATCGCCTTTTTTTCTTCTATTTTTATGTATTTACATTTTTATTATTTTTCCCAATTTTAGGTTTACATTTAAGTGTTATATATTTTATTTTTTACTTGACTTTATTGCCATCACACAAGGGTAACAAGCCCTTGTGTGATAGCTTCTGGAGGTGACAGGTTCTCTTTATTGACCATGTCACCTCCAACACATGAGTTCTAGCACAGCACTGTACTATTTCTCCTGTGACAGGATGGCTGCATTCCTGTGTCACTTCACACATGGAGCAGAGTAGAGAACCGTTCTCTGCCTTGCTCCGTGCTCTGGAACCTAATTTGCCATGGTCATCAATCCCCCACAAGAGGGGGGGGGGAGGAAGACTACGGCAAAAAGGTGCAGAGAGACAGGCAGCCGGGAGCAGTACCTCGGCCGGCCACTGGAGATAGGGAGAGGGGAGGGGTGAGGAGAGGAGAAGCGAGATTCAGGCAGGTTACAAGTGATTTTTGGACGGCTGCACAGCCGTTTAAAATCACTCGTACAAAACGGCTCCTACACTACATTTAGCAGTGCTGCTTGCCCGCAGCCGGGCTAAATGTAGAAAAAAAAACTACTCGCCCGGTGCCCGAAACTGCCTGTCCCGGGCGTCGGGCGATAGGAATTCCACACCCCTGAACTGATAGAAGTCCTGATTTAAAGCAAAGATTGCTTGTGTATGTATGTGTATGGCTAGATTTACTCTGTTTCCTCTGTGCCTTTTAACCAGTGCACAAAGCAAGGTCCATAAAGACATGGATGAGCGAGTTTGGGGTGGAGGAACTGCACAGAGTCCTGACCTCAACCCGATAGAACACCTTTGGGATGAATTAGAGCAGAGACTGTGAGCCAGGCCTTCTCGTCCAACATCAGTACCTGACCCCACAAATGCGCTTCTGGAAGAATGGTCAAACATTCCCATAGACACACTCCTAAACCTTGTGGACGCCTTCCCAGAAGAGTTGAAGATGTTAGCGTGACGAGAGGACGGCGGAGCCCGACGAGTAGCTTCCCGCCCGGCCATGAGCTTTACATTCAAGCGATTGGGCGCCTCTAGAGATGCTCGACCACTTGTAGAAGAGCAGCCGTTACTGCCTTGCCGGTCCGAGATCCGCTGTGTGACAGGAGATCGGTACACTATCTCCCTTTTATCTCCTCCCTCCCACAATTCAGGAAGTGATGTATATTACATTACTTCCTGAATTCTACATTTTTTTTTAAGTCCCCCACCCCCCACATACACATGCAAACATGCGTTGGTGCGCCTATATGAGAAAACAACAATTGTGTTTATTGTGCCGCACGTTACATATCACCGGGAATGTCGGAGTGAGAACAATCATTTTGGGGCCACTAATCACCGATAGCACTAAACTGAAAAACAATAAAAAAATAAAGCCCCCCCCCCCAGTGGTGATTAAATACCACAAAAAGAAAGCTCTATGTGTCCCTAAAAATGTTAACATAAATTGCAAGGCTATAGTCCAGTCATACTGACTGGTGAAGTTTTTGACTAGCTGGTGAGAAGGCCTAAAATTTTCCAAGCCCTGTATGAGATAGGATGAGATAGGTGTGTGTGTGTGTGTGTGTGTGTGTGTGTGTGTGTGTGTGTTTATTTTTTGATCCAATTTTATTGTGTTATTTTAAAAGTTGTTTGGGGTTTTTTTTTATTATCATATTAGCTTGGAGTTTACAACTCACAGATTATTAGTCTATAAAACTAATTAAAAAAGTCTAATACATATGATTACTAAAAACAAAATTAATAATTTTCCCTTTCCGCCTGACGAATTCTGCTGTGGGAGGTGCATTGCGGTGCCATTCATTTCAATGGCACTTCAAAAACACACCTCCCACCTGCAGTGCGATCGCATGCATTGGACAGCACGGTACTGCAATGCCCTGCAAAAAAATTGTGCATGCAGTTTTATTCTGAAATAAAATAAAATACACAAATGAGGCATTACAAACAAAAAGTTTAAATAAAAGATGATTTTCGATTATTGGCAAAAAAAAAAAGGATAAAATACCAGCCAAGTAATAGATTATGAAAATAATAGTTAGTTGCCGCCCTATCCTGAACGGATATGTAAAAAAGACAACATTACTTAGTTTTAATTGCCAAACACTATGGTCAAAGCCGTGCAATAAGCTTTTTTTCTTTCCATTCAGCTACAGTCTGTAGAAATCAATACACAAGTCCTATGAGGCATATATTCTGTAAATCCAAGGTCACCTTGATAGTACTCTTACCCAGCATATGTGATAACACTCAACATATTAAAAAGAGCTGAAAAAAAACATGTTATGCCAAGTATCCCCAAGAATCTGGACGGATGGGTTTGTTATTTCACTTCACTAAAGATGATCAGCAATGGTAACAGAAATATTTATTGTTTATTTTATTTACTTTATTATTAAACAGCACAGATACTGTTCCCACAACACTGAACTATTCACACACACAGTTTGGGTGAATGCCAAATCATAAACTGTAGGCTTATGAAATGTAGGAGGAAACTGCAGTACTTGGAGCTTCATTGACCCATACAGTACTAGATTAATGTACTCCATGCTTGTACCTGTTATATTTTGATTTTCATAGGCAGTGTAATAAAATTCTAACTATAATTTGCTGAATGTTCCTAACAAAAGAACCACAGCTAGACAGAGTACAAGAAACATCAATCTATGTGTTGGCAAGTAAGAGCTGTTCCATTGTGGCAAAGTCTCACCCCTTGCAGGTTGTTGTAGAAGTCCACACTTCCAGCGCACAGGTACCGACCCAGGAGAGTGGCGTGTGTAGTGAAGATTGTGGCCACTGGGAGTTTACGAACCCGACACAAACATAAGCCAACACCAGCTAACCATTCGTGGAAATGAGCAAGGATATAGGGCTTCTCATCGCCACACTGCGCTGCAAACTATGAAGAACAAATAGAAAGAATGGAACAAAAATGAAATATGAAGAAAACAAGAACTCCCTTCCACAGAGTGGTTTCAGATGAGAGTATGGAATCATTCAAGACCCGTCTAGATACTGTTCAGTAAGACCATTGAAAACGGTAGATTTTGAGATGGGGATTGACATATTAGTTTAGTGCAGAATACGCAATTTTCTAATATAGTTTGGCAAAAATAGTTAAAGGAAAACTATGAGGTGAGCGATTTCCACTCATCCTCAGTTAGAGCCGACCTGTGACAAAGAAGCCGTTACATGTCGGCTCTATTGATTGGAAAGTGAGCAGAAACATGCCGCCGATCCGCTCACTTCCCAATAGTCTCCCTGCAGTGAGCGGCGACTGTCAGTCACGGCTCCCCGCAGGGATTCTCCCCTCTCCGATCCTCCAGCACTGACTGGAGGAACGGACAGGGGAGGGGGCGGGCACAGCTGACTCTGCCTCTAGATACGCAGAGCCAGTTGTCACTCAAGCAGCTGGGTGGATCTCGACAGTATGGTCGGGAACCGTCCTGGCTGTGGCGCTCTCAGTATATCACGGGCAATAGCTTGTGATATACTGAGCTTTGGGCCACAGGAGGAGGTTAGTATATGTCCTCCCGTGACCCTAAAGAGAATTATGGGGAAAAACACTTACCCCATAGTTCTCTTAATTTCGCAGCCATCTTTTTGTATAGAAACAGTTGGCCTAATTTTCAGATAAAAACATGGACTATGGTGTCCATCACAGGTCATACCTCCTGCATAACTCATTCTACATTACCCTGGGTATTAATCCCCTCATCTAATCTCTCATCCTTTGCTGCCTAGCTAATTCCTCCCAGACATAAATCGTAAACTAGTAAGCAGGCTCTCTACTCCTCTACTGAATGGCCTGCTGCAGTGGCTGAGACAGACAGGTCATATGAGAGGGATTCCTTGAATGGACACAATACACTGCACTCTTGGATAGAGTCTCTTGGCTATACTTTCGTGCTCCCATAGGACCCCCCCCTAAATCGCAAGCACTAGCTGCAATTGTGGTCTTGATTTCTAATTTATAGCTGCGTACTGCATGCCATTCAACAATTCAATGAAAATAAACTTAGCTGGCAATTACTCTCACTAGATAGTTAATTGGGACTATGAAGCCACAGGTTACTACATATAAAGCCACTCACAAACACCTTGGCAACAACACTCTACAAAATAACAGGATTATTATTTTTTTGGACAATCGACAAGACTGCAAATCATTGCTTATGTTCCATCAGCTAGATGCACATCCAAATCCACTGATACATATTGCAAATAAAGCCCAAAATTATCGAGACATTTATTCCAAACTGCATACAGCTGTTTTAGGCTTTCTGGTCATCATCATTGTAGTGTATAGAAACTGTGGCTTCTTTGAAGTAGGGCTTGGGACCCAGTATAACTATACAGGTTATTCCACGAAGGGACTAAAGCAAATCAAAAAAATTGCATAAAACAATGATTTGCATGGCTCTGCCCATGGTCCAGAAATGAGGAATAGTCCTCTTAGTTTTGGGATCTGTGATGGAATAAGACACATTAATATCTTCAGTTGTAAGAAGGCTTCGGGCATAACTATTCTTAATCCCTCCAGTGGGGCTACCCCTGCACTGCAAGTGTTAAGTGCTAGTTTTCGTCTAGGGATGAAAATAAAGATATGCTCACCTGAACCTCGCAGTCGGCTGGCTGTTAGACTGGTCCCTTCAGCCTCGCCCCCTGTGTTCCTTGCTGTCCTCACATCCTATACAGTGTATCACAGGGCCTTCGCCCTAGAGAAAACGAGTACCTAACTCTTGCAGTGCAGGGGTAGTCACACTGCAAGGGTTAAGAATATTTAAGCAAAAATATTTCGTGCAGAACCACCCAGCAACAATCACCAGAAACCTACAGACAACCCCTCCCCACCAACATCAACCAACTGAGCCGCACATTTACAGACATTATTCTATGTAAGAGCCCATAATACTTTGACCCTTTTGAGAAAGAAAAGCAGACACTGCATGAGATGCATACATAAGTAAGGAACATTTCCGAAGGCTGGCAGTACACAGGCAGGTCTTTCATCTGTTACAGCAAAAAGATGGAGAGCTACCAAGTCTGAACAGCAGGGCGTGCAGGTTATAAACTAAAAGATATATATTTGTTAAAACAATTAAGACGTCAAATATCTTCTTAAAGAACAAATGTAACAAATTCCTACTAAGACAACCTACCTCACCCAAAAACCAAGCGGTCAGAAAGCCAAACAGAACGGCATCATTGGCTTCCCGGTCATACCATGGGATCCCAATGGTGCAGCTATCCCATAACTCTGTCTTCCAGCGGTCGAGGCTCCAGGCAGTGGCTCCAATATCAATGAGGATTACGTATGGACTGCCTTCAATCAACCAGCGGCCAAAGTAAACCTGCACACAAGAAGGACAATTACTACAACAATTGTTTAGAATTTTATTCACTTTTATTCTTTTTTGCCTAGGCCCCATTTGCGCTTCAAGCCCTCAAATTCCTGAAACCACCATACATTCCAACTACTATGATTAGTTGACTTATGCCAAGCTAGACCCATATTTAGGGCCCAGAGAGACTGGGCAAATTACACTTTGCTGAATGCCTGGCATTTATGACTAGGCAAAGCTCCAACACTTCCTGGTAGTGTCCAAGCTTGCCTGCTTCCTACAGTTCTCCTATACTGTATTCCTATTAGTCTATCACTATGCTGAGCTGCCTCACTAATCCACTTGTGATAGGTCGGTAGGTAACAGGTAAGCTTTGGCGTTGCCAGAAAGTGCATAAGCTGTGCCTGGAACAGCCTGCCACTCAGGAAAAGGGGCAGCAGTGAAAAGGTGCTGCAAGTAAATGCAGTCACCACTAAGTGACTTCTATTGCTACATGCCACAGCTTGTTTTTGGTTGCTAAAGAGACAGTCAATTTAAGTTTAGTTCTATTAGTCAATGAGGCCAAATATTACATCAACCAACAAGGAAGCTTGGGAGGCAAGGGTGATGGGCCAAACTTTACGATTACAGGAAAAGATGAGCGTTGTACATAATTTCAGTTGCATTTATCTCTGATCAATAACATAGGAATTTAACTGAAAGCAACCTCTGCGTATACATTGTTTATTTCAGATGTACTTTAACCTCCTTGGCGGTATTCCAGAGTGTGGCTCGGGGGTTAATTTTCAGTACAATAAGCAGTACCCCCGAGCCACACTCGGGATTACAGCCTAGCGTCTCTTTACATTGTCCACGACCCCCGCTGTGTCCTCCGGCTGATGCCGGCAATTGTCTTCCGTCCCTTGCGAGCGTCCGCGTTGCAGGGGTGCCGAACCGGCAGGAATTTTTAAAGTTAACAAAAAAAAGGAAAGAACCAAAAAAAAAAAAATTTAAAAAAAATCAGACCGCCAGGGAGGTTAATACTGAAGTATCAGGAGATTTTGTGCTGGGCTTGAGCAGATCAAGGACCTGGACTTAAAGTTTAAACCATATAGCAAAATACCCATCTGAGAGTTTCTGCAGTACTGACAATATGAACTGTGCAGTCATTATGAAGAGAATGTTGGCTAATGTTCAGGGCTCCACCTGGGAGACAGGAAAGCTCCACCCAGGAGTTAGAGTGGAGTCAAGTGCAGCAGGGTGCTGCAGATTGGGAAAACCCCAGTGTGCAGGTGAGCACACGAGTGAGGCTGTCTGGAGGAACAGACAGTGGCCTGAGGTCTGAGGCCAGAGCAGCAAATGTAAAGCCAGGAGGCTAGATGGGCAGGTGCTGCCAAGAGACGCTAAAGAACCCCTGCGAGGGGTACTCCAATTCATCCCAAAGGTGTTCTATCGGGTTGAGGTCAGGACTCTGTGCAGGCCAGTAGAGTTCCTCCACCCCAAACTCGCTCATCCATGTCTCTATTTGCGAGTACTTCCGGTATCAGGAATCCGGGCAGCGCGTCATTACACGCTGCCGGGTTTCGCGATCGATTGACCGGAAGCTGGCCTCGTGAGGTAAGGTTACTTTACCTTAGTATGTGCAGCCTGTCATCCCCTGGGGCCTCTCCAGCGAGAATGCGGCCTTCGTCCGGTACCCAGCCCGAGCCGTCCAATCATGAAGTCGGGAGTCTAATGACGCGACGCCCTGCTTTCTGATTGGCCGGGAAGCGGCCTTCATGCTCCCTCGTCATCTCAGATAGAGACAGACAGACACTCTTTTATATTTAATTAAAAGTCATTTTCAGCCAGACAGATTTTGCTGCAGCGGTGCCATTCATTTCAATGGATCCCAAATCCACCTCCCGTTCGCAGTGTGATCGCCCGCACTGGAACGCGTGGTACTGCAATACCCTGCCTTTCACTGCAGTGTGATTTTTAAAAAAATTGTATACTGTATTACTGTGAAGTAAACGTTGTCTGTAATTGTGCATTTTATTTTAAATAAATTACGGTATTAATTTTTTTAATCCGATTATTCGAACTCAGCTAACTAATCGATTATGAAAATAACCGTTAGCTGCAGCCCTCATTAAATGCTCCTCTATATATGAAGTACAGGGTATTCACCTGGCCCCAGTGGGTGAACAGGGTGCAGGGAGTGCATGCAAGGTAGGTATATACAGAGGAGGGCTATCAAGTAAACCCGTTACTTTACCCTAAATGTGCCAAGTACAGTAGCCGTTTTGTAAAGAGTGGGGAAGGGATAGAACCGCTGTCAAGTTTTAACTGCTGTCTGTGTTCCTGTTGAAGAGATTCACCTTCTCTCCTTGTTGTGGTGACCATTGTTAGCAAGGCTGAAAGTGATGGAAAAAAAAAAATCTAAGGTCCTGTAAATCATCAACATCTATACCAATGACGCTGAGGAAGATTCCAACACTGCAGGGAGAGGGAGATAGGCTGGAGGGAGCACCGTGACAGCTGGCCAGCTCAGAGCTTTGGACGAGAATATCCTTGTTATTTTAGCACCTAGACACAAATGAGCGCTTAACTCTTGCAGTGCGGGGGTAGCCCCACTGCAAGGGTTAATACAAAAAATCCTGGAGTTCTTCTTTAAAGCTTAACTGAACAAACTGAAAAGACAAGCCGATACTGGTTACCAGGCAACTGCTCCAGATTTGATAAATCCCCCCAATGTGATTACTATGTGCACAGCACTATTTATTACAATTACTCTCATTTTGGTATACTGCGCATGAACAGAGATATGCGCTACTCTGATGAATGAGGCCTAAGCCAGATCATGAGATGGCAGCTATTTTCATCTTAATTAGGTGATGATTTTAGGTCTATAATGGCAGATGGGCATCTGCTGATTGGCAGGCTTCTGGAGGAACATAAATCAGCCAGATAAGAAATCCTTTCCTAAGATCTGAAATGAGCAATGCTGCACTGTTCCCCTTGTATTAACAAACTAGCTAGCTCAGCAGAGCCCATCTTACAAGTAAAGGCATTGCTTGAGTGATATGCCCTCCTGTGGGCAAACCAATATATTTCTGCACTTCTGACTACCCTTTAATGTTCTCAGGCAGCTTTACATTTACTATAAACCAGCCTGAGAATCTTTATGGCCGATTTTGAGTACTTGACTCTGACAAGTCATTAGTGACCTGAGGGGAGGGGGTATGAAAGGACGGACAATCTACCATTGTGGCTTTCTGTACCCCACACTGTCACCTTGTCACTAGTATCCCAGCTGTCAGGATGCTAAAGGTCCCCATCGCCCAGCCTAATTCTGTGCTCTTGTCTTGGAATCTAGGGCCTAACACAACCGGGCTCTGACATTTTTAGAGCTGACCTTTCTGAAAGGCAGTAACTAAATCCTGGCATAACACCAGGTCACTGCTGAGAAATACTAAATTTAGCACTTAAACATGTGCTTCTGAACTCACAGACAGAGAGGGGAGGAGTACAAGCGGATGAGTAAACGCAGATACGTTTTTAGCAATGTCACAGGACAGGACATTTTGCTTCAAAGGGCAGGACAAATACAAACCACTAATAGTAACACCTAAACTGACTTCTGGCATTGAGTGCAATTTATTTAGAGTATGTGTCCACAGCTATTCTTTAAGATAAGCAACTTACCATCGTTTCCATCTTTCTATTAAGGTGCCATGGGCCTTATTTATAGGCTAGATGAATAATCTTTGTAAAAATAGTAGTATTTTCCAATAATAGTATCTTTCATGCCTGTTTATAGTGGACCTATCAAATCAAAAAGTTTTCTACACAATTATTCTTTGTCCACAAATTTAAGTTTTATATGTTTTAAACTAGCCCCTGAGTGGGGCCCATATTATCTCCCCTCTAACTTAAGGCAAAGCAGTTCTCAGGCTAAGAACCACTAACGTTGTATAAGTGGCATGCTCATGGCCTCCTGTTTTGCTTCATTTGCAAGTCTCCATGGTGGAGCCATGCTTAGACATAATTATGCATGCAAGGGACCCTACAAACACTCTTCAGCAAGGTGGGTCATCATCATCTGTTCAGATGTGACTTCACCAGATCTTCTGATATTAAAGCACCACCAGAGCAGTAATGGTTTGTAAAGCACAGGAACAAAAGTATAGCATTAGCTTTAGGAAGGTAGTACTATGACTATGCTAGGACTGCAGCTAGTGATTATTTTCAAAATCGATTAGTTAGCCGATTATTACGTTTTTATTTTTAATTTTTTTTTTAAATGGCTCCAGTGATGGACTACTAGTTTGTATTGAGATTGTAGTCCATCACGGGAGCAAGCTTGGAGTGGAAGTAAAAAAAATTACAATTATTTTTTTAGGTTTAAAAAAAAAAAAAAAAGGTGGGGTGTGCAATATAGTGAAATGGAAAGTGTAAAATTATACAGCAATCAATGCAGAATGGCATCGGCTATAGAGGACTACAAATCCCAGCAATAATACATTATACAGCGCAATACAGCATACCACCAGCTATAGAGGAATACAGTAAATCCCAGCAATAGCACTTTATAGCTGGTGGCATTCTGCATTGCGCTGTATAATGTACTATTGCTGGGATTTGTATTCCTCTGTATTTGCACTCTGTATTGCACTGCAGAGGAATACAACAAATCCTAGCAACAGTACATTATACAGCGCAATACAGAGTCCCACCAGCTATAGAGGAATACAAGCCCCAGCAATACATTATACATACAGGCTTACCTGAGCAGTCTCCTAGCAACTTTCTCCGGAGATCGTGGGCCTGTCTGTTGGCGGCTGCCATCCCGCACATGCCTGCTCCTCCTGGCTTATCTTCTGTCTCCCTGTGCCGTTCGTGGATGCGGGCGGGCGGGTCTGGCAGCGGTGAGTGGTCTGAGAGCTGAGTGAGGTGGTGAGGAGAAGCGGCGAGCAGCGTGTGTGGAGCGCCGAGCAGGGCAACTAATCGAATGTCAACTAATCGATGAAAAATGTTGACAACGTTTTCTATCATAGATTATAATCTACTTACTCGATTAGTTGTTGCAGCCCTAGCCTATGCGCTAAGTACATCAAACCACTGCAACTTATCAGATTCCACACAAGTATCTGACTAGAGCACTTGAAATCTCACTAGCCATTATGGTTCCTGCTCTTTGCACAGTTATTGCAGTTTGCAGTGACGTAGAGGGTCTGACCAGCCAAAAGTGATTTGTTAGAAGACCATGGTGAGCCGAGTCAGCCCTACCTTACTACCTCCCTAATAGTATTGAATGCTCCCACAGAAAGACCTGTCAGAACTCCAAACTCTGTTCCTGTCAACCTTTGCTTGTTGAATCTCTTCCTTGTGCATTCTCTATTAAGTATTATAAGTATTATAAAAATAAAAATAAATCCTACAGGGAGAAATGGCCACAGCAAATGTACAGACCCAGAATATATGTCGCCAGTAGAATTACTGAGAATAAGACACTGTCAGATGGTTTACATCTCCAAATACCAGAAACTGAAATATTGGTGTGGGATGAACTGACCTTTACAATCAGTAGGTCTGTCCTTTAAAGCCAGTGAAGCGTTTATATAACTAGAGCCATACTGATTCAACAGGCACGGGACTAGAGCAGTAGATTCACAGCAGGAAATCACCAAAGTCTGCCATTTTAAAAACTGCAATAACTGAAGGGAAAGGCAGCAGCAGGCCCCAAGAGGAGTTGCAAGACTCTCCAAAAGCCCCATATTATGCAGTCAATTTCTCTTTCTCCAAAAGATCTGGACAGCTTGACTTAAAGCATGTTATGTCAGAGGGCTGCAGCCAACTACAATACAGAGTCTTCATTCCATTTAGGAGGTACAAAGCTGATGAACCTTTACTCTGCAATCAAGGCCATCACTTTAACATTCCTGTAATGGTATTCATTTTCAGATTTACAACATTGAGTAATCTGCATAGAAATCATAGTAATCTGCATAGAACTGCGTAAAAAGAGGTCTTTAGGTCTAGAAAAATAGATTATATATCTGCACTCTGCATTGTTACTGATCTCTGTTCTCTGTGTCACACCACTGACCTGGCGGAGTTAAGGGCGGGGCACGGCAGGGGTCAGGTGGGGCGACTAGTGGCGAGTAACTCTTAAGGCCTGGCTAGTAGCTCAGGACTTGAAATTTTGAGCCCTGATATATTACATTCATAATAAATTAAACTAAGAGGAATATATAGCTAAAGTGTTTACCCCTTGTCAGTTTACAACTTAAATTCCACATTAAGATTCTGTGTAAAAGCGACATAAAAACAGAAGGCAACGATTTGAAAATCTCAAACCCATATTTTATTCACAATAGAGAACATGTCAAAATGTTAACTGAGAAAAATGTACCATTTTAAAAGAAAAGAAAAAAAAAAAAAGGAATTTTGAAATTGATGGCAGCAACACGCCTCAGAAAAGTTGGGACAGGGCAACAAAAAGCTGGCAAAGCAAGTGGTACTAACAAGGAAAAGCTGGGAGAACATTTTGCAATTAATGTGGTTAATTGGCAACAGATCAGTAACATGAGGTATAAAAATAGAATTTTAGAGAGTCAGAGTGTCTCAGAAGTATAGAGGGGCAGAGGTTCACCAATCTGAAATGCTGCGTCTATATATTTTTAAACAATTTCAGAAAAAAGTTCCTCACCATAAAATTGCAGACTTTAAATATATAATCTTCTACAGTGCATAATATCAAAAGAATCAGAGAATCTTGAGAAATATCTATGTGCAAGGGACAAGGCCGAAACACAATACTGCATGCTCAGACAGCACTGCATTAAAAAAACAGGCATGATTTGGACATCACTGCATGGGTTCAGGAATAATTCCAAAATCACTGTGTGAACACAGTTGACCGCACCACCCACAAATGCAAGATAAAGCTCTATCATGCAAAGAAGCCATAACTAAACACGATGCGGAAATGCAGTCAACTTCTCTGGGCCAAAGCTCTTTAAAAATGGTCTGTTGCAAAGTGTAAAACTGTTCAGAGGAATCGAAATTGGACATTCTTTTTGGTAACTATGGGCACTGTGTCCTCTGGATTACAGAGGAGAGGGACCTTCCAGCTTGTTATCATTGCTCAGTTCAAAAGCCTACATCTCTGCTGGATATGCTCCCATCCAGAAGACGTCTTTTTCAGGGAAGGCCTTGCAAACTTCATCAGGACAATGCTAAACCGCATACTGCATCTGTGACAATAGCATGGCTTCACAGTAGAAGAGTCCAGGTGCTTAACTGGCCTGTCTGCAGTTCAGACTTTTCACCATTTGAACATATTTGGCGCATCTTGAAACAAACAATACGACAAAGAAGACCCAGACTGTTGAGCAGCTAGAATCCTATATCAGGCAAGAATGAGACAACATTCCTCTCCCAAAACTTCAGCAACTGGTCTCCTCAGTTCCCAGACGTTTACAGAGTGTTGTTAAAAGAAGAGGATTCTACACGGCGGTAAAGATGGCCCTGGTCCCAACTATTTTGAGATGTGTTGCTGCCATCAACTTCAATATTGCCTTATTTTTTTCCATAAAATCGTACATTTTCTCAGTTTAAACATCTGATATTTTTTTTGTTTTCTATTGTGAACAAATATGGCTTTGAGATTTGCAGATTATTTCATTCTGTTTTTATGTAGATTTTACTCAATGTCCTAACTTTTTGGAATTGGGCTTGTATTTTTTGCTGTCAGAGTCCAATTGGGGAGATTTCCCTTCATTTCCTGTTCCGCAGATGCAACAAGAAGTGAGGAATTTACCAATTTGAAAGCTGTTTCCAAAACAGGCTTCCCCACCTCCCATTCTGGTTACAACTGAAAAGGAAGAGTGCTTTGCTTTCCAGGCTTAGTCCTACATCTGCTTGCCCACACAACCACAATTAATCTGTAGGCTCATACAGACTAAAGGCAGCAGGGGTAATCACCAGTTGTCTGCCCCATCCGGAAAGCAACAAGAGGATCACCGTCTGCCATACACACAGAGGTTCTTTAACTTAACTAGTAGCTTTATAGGCCTTCTCCTGTAAGTCTCACTCCTACCCCGGTGTGCAGTGCATGCTGTGCCAGTGCGGTGGGGTCTGATACCTGAGTAGGCACCAGGCGATGTCCAGGTTACCATGTTTTAAAAGGCAGTAATGATTTTGAGATAAAGGCAGAAAGTATAGGGATAAGGGCAGAAGGTATACGGGTAGCTGCCCAGGCCATTTTTTAAAAAAATCTGTTGCTCTGTCTGCTGCATGTTTTTTTTTAGACTCAGAGCCTAATGTTAAGTGAACCACCACCCCCAATCCTAAATGTTTGCTGCCTGTCACCACCTACTGGAGACGTGCAATGAGTTCATTCACTGTAGTGCCACTGGGTGGTTGTTCCCAAATAGTGGGATTCGAAATAAGCCAACTGCCATGCCAGCACCACTGCACTTCCATGTCGGAGGCTACATTTAGTATTTTTTCATGCAGCAAAAATGTATATGGTAACTTTGCTGAAACATTCCCTGTGTCACCTATGCAGCAACAGTTCCTACTTCAGCTATACAGAAATAATCCATGTGTCACCTATGCAGCCTAGGGGGCAAATTGTATCCACTACTGAATGTACTGCATCTTAGACGAGTAAAACACCCTTCAGTTTCTGGTTGTATTAATACAGTATTGATAGTGTTATTGCGGAATGGTTTTGATTGTGTCATTACAGTACTGATTGTTTCACTATGGTACTAATTGTGTCTGTGGGCCTATTTCTGGTTGTGCCAGTACACTATGGATTGTGTCTGCTGGCATTTAAATCTCTTATATTGCCCTGAATGAGATAAGATAAGTACAGATGCATGTTAACCATTTAACCCTCACCTTGCATCCTTTTCCATTCATGGAATCCAACGTTCGCTTGATAGCAGGATTTGGTGGCTCGATCAACTCAACCTGAGTCCGCACATTATGCTCGAAGTAGGGGCCAATCAGGAAGTAGTTTTCTCCCCATTCATCTGTGGTAATCTTGGCTTTGGTCTGTATAACTGTGTAAATTCCTCCAACTAAACAAATAAAAAAGGAGTAATATCAATTGACTCAGACAAGTCAGCCAGAAATACAATCAGAGCATACATGGTGAAAAATAAGATGAAGGGGTTAAAAGATACTTGTCAGGATAAGAGAGGCATTGTCACAATTATGTTTTAAGGCTGGCTTCACACCTAGGCGTATCGAATATGCACATTTGTCACGCCTTTCGTGCCGCACGTTTTTACCGCGATTCGTGGTAAAAAAACGCACGACAAACGCACGTTTGAGGGCTACCTGGCTGTAGCCCAATGGATACGCGCGGAAAATACGCCCTAAAGAAGCTCCTGTACTTCTTTGGGCGTAGGGCGTTTTGCAGCGCGTTCCTATGCGCTGTAAAACGCCCAGGTGGGAACCATGCCCATAGGCAATCATTGGTTTTCACATGTTGAGCGTTTTACAGAGTGTAGGAACGTGCTGTAAAACGCCCAGGTGTGAACCAGGCCTTAGAGAAAACCGGTATGCAGGTCAGGTGACCTGACATTTCTCTGGCTGCTTGATTGTCATGGGCCAATGACTGATTGGAAGAGACTTTTAAAGGCAAGCCAACAACGACAGCATACATTTCTTTTTATTCTGACAGGTTCCTTTAAGCTGATAAATCCTAATGAGCACTTCAATCAAAATCTACAGCATCGGTTTTCTGAATTTCCCAGCATGCTGTAAAATATATGCAGCTATTGCCCTAGAAAAAAAAGGAGTGCTGTACTTTACTATCATAGTACTTCCGTTAAATAAACACAGTGACGTTACAAGTTCTAGGCCACCAGGCAATATGTAAATGTAAACACACGCTTAGTGGTTAGCACTGTTGCCCTGCAGCACTAGGGGTCCTTGGTTCATCTCCCAGTCAGGACACTATCTGCCAGGAGTTTCCCCCTGTGCTTGCGTGGGTTTCCTCTGGGTGCTCAGGTTTCCTCTCACACACCAAAGACATGCTGGAAGGTTAATTGGTTCCTGTCTAAATTAGCGGTTGTATGTGTGTGCAATAGGGACTTTAGATTGTAAGCTCCTTGAGGGCAGGGACTGATGTGAATGTGCAGCATGTAAAGCAATGCATAAATTGTCAACCTATAATAAAAAAATAAAAAATAAAAAATGTATCAGATTCACACAAGTAGCAACTTGCACACAATGCATGCATGTTTTTTATGAGGTGGATGATGCAGACTGGTTGATCTGCAACTTTTCCGATTATGTGAATCACAAAGATATTGAAGAGCAAACATAAATTAATTTTTGATGTGACATTTAAATTTTTTGAGTGAAAAAACCCCTCTAAGTATATCCTCGCTTTACATGCACTATAATTTCCCTCTAAATAGGACTATGAAAAGGTATGTTAGACGATACTGAACATTCTTGTTCCATTGGAGGTTCTTGTAATTAGTAACCCATTCAAAATGTTATACATCAATGGATTCACAAAAGACAAAAGTTGTCAAACAAACCTACTTTCTTTTTATGAGGCAGTAATAAATTGGACAGAGGAATGGCAGTAAATATAGTATACTTGGACTTTGCAAAAGCGTTTGACACAGTTCCTCACATGCGGCTAATGTAGAAGTTAAGGTCAGTTGGTATAGAGCAGTCCCCCCCAACTGTAAATAAATAAATAATACAATAAAAAAAAAAATATTAAAAAAAATAAAAACTGCCCCCCGCCGCCCCTCAAACACATATTATTAGACATGTGCGAATACTAAAAATTTATTTCAGATGAAATGTGTATGTGTAATGCTCTGTGCGTTGTGCTGTGGCTGTATGTGTGTTGTGCTGTGTGCGCGTTGTGCTCTGTGTGTGTTTGTTTGTGTTATGAAGGGCAACTGGTGGCGAGTAACTTCGAAGGCCTGACTAGTAGCTCAGGACCTGAAATTTTGAGCCCTGGTATAGAGCATTCCATCTGTAATTGGATAGAAAACTGGCTTAAAGTATTCAGAGAGTGGTGATCTATGATTCGCACTCTGAATGGTCTAAGGTTGTTAGTGGCGTCCCCCAAGGTTCAGTGTTGGGACCGTTACTGTTTAACCTATTTGTAAATGACATAGAACTGGGGATTAAAAAAGGTACTATTTCTGTGTTTGCAGATGACACCAAGTTATGTAGTGGAATACAGTCCTTCAGGGGTGTGGGAATTTTTTTTAAAACTACTTGTCAAAAGGACTAAAGTGGGGGCACGATCTACTTGTCCTGATCCCAAAAAATAAATTTGACCCAAAACCGTATTTAGCAGTGCCAAGAAGAGCTTCTCATTGGTCAGTGGTGTCTGGCGACCGGGCTGACCAACGAGTGCTTGCAATTTGCGAGCGAAATTCATAATACATGGCAGTTACAGATAGTGCATCTATATTGGCGGATAGGAAGGACCGTTCCTTGAAAGGTAAGTATAGCGGGAGCTAGTTCTAGCTAGCTCAGTTAATTGGTCTAATGTGCCTGTGTTCTGGATGCGGGAGATCGAACTGTGGGCGGGAGACATGGCTGCGGTGCAACCCCACGCCCCTGAACGCAGGGAGTGGGCCGGCTTACATTCCAGTGCGTCCTACATTCCAGTGCGTCCGGGCAGAGGCAGCGGGAGATCCGAGGAGAAGTGAAAGAAGCACTTCAGCCGCCGGGGAACAGGAGCCGCTGTAACAGCAGCATGGGGAGAGAGAGCCGCCACCTGTCAGATCCAGATCGACCGGCTCTATCACTCTCCTCACCGCTCGGCGTGCTGCTGCGATAGCGGCTTGGCCGAACCGCCCCCCCCGCC